TTTTACGCTGCCTGATTGGTCCCCTCAGATTGTAGAGCCTGACGGATGAGATGTTTTCTTTTCTTCAAGATTTTGAGGAAGTTGTTTTGTCTTTGGATCTCGACGATCTTTGGAATACGTTTTCTTATAAGTAGGATGTCGTGTTTTCGGAGTTTATTTTTCGTCAAATTCGGAAAATGTTTTTTGGAGATTATTATTATTATCACTATCAGTATTATTTTCTGAAGATTCGGACTTTATCTGAGTTTATTTTTGTTTGATTCCCAATCAAACAAAATTCTCTGAAATTCCAAGATTAATTTCGCAGTGTTTCGAATTAAAATAAATAAATATATATATATATATATATATATATATATATATATATATATATATATATATATATATATATATATATATATATATATATATATATATATATATATATAATATCCATGCTAAATAAATATATTCAGCTGGATTTGACGTTGGTGCCATTGCCGCTGGAAATACTAATTTGTCCCACGACGCAGGTTGCACACAAGTGTTACTTCGATAAATGTCGATACCTTAAAATAAATAAACTCCTGGAGGTAGTCGCTGGGAAACTACGCGCTCTCCGGCTACACCTCGTAGGACCCCTCATCGTTCGACTGCAGAACTCTCTGTTTATTATCTACTGCGAAATTAACCGGGGAATAGGATCCTCCTGCCCCCTTCACTTCGAGCACTGGAGAGCATCCTCGCGCTCTGCAACAGACCGTGGGCGCCCCGAGTGCAAGGCTTTGTCCGCAAGTTTTCTCCTCAAGGACACCAGCTCAGGTGGGCTTAAACGAGGTTCATAGCAGAACTTTGGACCCTGACCCCCAAGGGCTGCCCAATTCCGGGGGGAACCGATCATCATCCGGATTTATAAACGTGTCCGCCAATAACACTATCCCGTCTTTATTTATTTATTTATTTATATTAAATTTTTTTTTTTTTTTTTTTTTTTTTTTTTGCGGTGGAAGTTACGAGCGCGTTGGACGTCGATCTTTTGCTTAGGGATCACACGCTCGCTCACATCCTCGGGCGGAGAGCTGAGTCAGGTCATGAAAGGGAGGCAGTTGATTGGTTCGGCGAGAGGTCGAGGTGAATGGAGAGGCCAAGGTGAAATTGCTCATTTCATGAGCCAAAATGGCGACATACGGGAAGCTTGGCGTTACTTTCCGACGGAACGCCGGCGTCCGGCGTTTGGCTCTTGCACTCTGACGCGTTCGATGAGCGCAGTGGAGACAAAGGCAGCTCTTTATGTCTAGCTAAAGTAACTGGATCGTGGGAAAGTAGCGCCAAGCTCCCCGCATGGTCGCTCTTTTCGCTCATGAAATGAGCAATTTCTCCTTGACCGATCTTCATATTTTGGTGAGCCGATGTCAATTGCCTGGTCACGGGTAGCTTTATAGAGACGTTTCATGCACACCGAGATTTTGCTATCCGCACACCGGGGAAACTGGCGTACATCATCGTACCACCACCCCATGCGGTGTCGGTGCTTGGAGGCATTGAAAAATAATTTCCCTGTTTTGAAATATGCAAAAAGAACAATACAATTGGAAGAGATCCGTGATCAGGCACGTAGCCAGGATTTTGTTGTTTCGGGGGGGGGGGGGGGGGGGGGGGGGAGGGGGGGCGCCCATGACAAAATGCTGTATGAGGTGGAGGGGGGCTCCCAGCAGCCCCCCTGGCTACGTGCCTGTCCGTGATTGATGAGTTGATTGCATACACAGTGCAAAAGACGCATACTTTGGCGAGGCACGCCTTCAGCACGATGATGCACCATGGCGATCTCGGTGTGACTGAACTAGAACGACCCTCTCGAAGCTTCGAAGATTTGAAGGGGACAAAATGCCATAGCAACGGAAACCGATTAGCCAATCGCCTTGCGAGGTTTTGGTCGCCTGTACATTAGTATCCATTTGTGTCCGGCTAGCAGATATAGGGAAGGCAATGGAGCTACTTTCCCCCAATCCAGTTAACTTTAGGTCGATAAACTAATAATTCGAGCCAGAGCTCGGCGGTCTAACCTTTCCGCGCTCTTTCTTCTCCTCTTCTTCCCCATTTTCGCGGCGCATAGGTGACTCACGCTCCCAATACGGTGTTCCTAGAAATCATTCCTGCAAATATTACGCACCGCACTCAAAAAAAAAAAAAAAAAATTGATGTATTTTTTTTTATTGAAGGGTCGACATGATAATATTTAGAGCGTTCAGTATCATTATTCAATAATTTCGAGTAATTAACGTTTAAATAGTGAATTGAAAGGTATGATTTAAGTTAGAAACTTGCTGGACATTGTTCAAGAACCACTCAAACAACACAATTCACACAAATGTAAGGTACGTACAACATTTCACAATAATCAGAAAAAAAAAATAAACCCGCTAACTTTGGAAGGTTTTCTGGGTTTTGGCTTTTCCTTAGAGCGCATCTTTGCGCCAGCGGTCCCGCTCCCACGTGGCCGAGGCATGCAACACACGTGCGCCACGTTTCATTCCCTCCTACAAGGAAGGCGAGGCGGTAGATCGCGCGAGTTGAAACGTGGTGGCGCCTTTGTGCAAATAGCTCTCAAATACCTCCGGTTCTCAACTAGACGGGCCGGTTTAGCAGTATTTGCGAGATTCAATCTACGCGCCATTTTCGAAAAATGGTCGCTCTCGCCACTCTTACCCATAATTGACTCTTATGGTGAAAGAAGGATGCGTAAAAATTTAGAAAATATTCCCGAACCGGAAGTGTGCCAAAACTACCGAATAGCTGGCGCCATTGAAAATAATGCAAAAAAAAAAAAAAAAATGTGGAACTCTGGCGCAAACATGCGAGATGCGCTCCGATAGGAAACCGAAACCCAGAAACGTTTGCAAATTTAGCGGGTTTTTTTTTTTTCGAGCACCGTGAAATGTTGTACGTGCCTTATATCTTATAAGTAATAATGTAGCGGGTGTTCGACCATGTCAAACATTTTTCTAGTTGCCTTTCAATTTACTAATTAAAAGGTTGAACACTCGAAAGTAATTATTAAATTATACTGAACGTTATTAACTTTCCTATATTGGCCCTACGCTAAAGACTAGTACGACATGAACTTTTCTTTTTTTCTGTGCGATGCGTACTTTTCGAAGAAGCAATTTAACCGGCGTTTCGAAGTTGTTTTTATTTTGCCGTACTTGCAATAGCTTTTTTTTTTTTAATTTTCTGCTTGAAATTTGTGCTTGTAGTGCGAACATAATTTTGAGGCCTGCATTGGCAATATAATTCAGTTAAATCCGGCAATGTAAGACATCTTAAAAAAAAAAAAAAGCATTCCTAGACTTCGTGTTCTTGAACACACATGATGTCTGATCCTAGAGGGCAGAGCTGGCCAAATTACTCATATTTTGTAATTAAATTACATTACTAATTACTTTGCTGAAAATTGCTGAAATGTAATTAAATTACATTACAAATTACCACAGCCAGAAAGTAATTAATTACCATTACAAATTACTTTTAAAAGTAATGACATTACTTTCGCATTACTTTTGTATACTTTTACAGGCTGCGCCTACACAGGCGCAGCCTGCGTAGGCGCAGTTTCAAACACTGCTGGCGGCTAAATTCTCGTGTTTTCCCACTGCATTTTATGTTTCATGGTGCATGTATTTTCCCGAGGACATTGGGAAGCATTGTACTACATTTGAAAAAAAAAGCAGTAAACTATTTTTGTTGGGTACGCGCGTGACAGAACGAATGCGACTGGAACGTTTTTTTTTTTTTGTTTTTTCTTACGGTAAATTTTTACGGTGCCGTTCGATTAGCCGCGTGTGAAACGACAAAGCGTTTAGCTGTCGAAATTAATTAACAACAGAAGATAGCCGAAGGGCATGCATTTTTCACGTTCACAAATAACATGTTTACCGATATACAGAGGGACGCACGCGACTGATCCGTTTCCCACCCCAACCCGGACAACTATTTTTGGAGATGTTTGAGGACCCTACGCGGATTAACTCTGGGAGGGGGGAGAACTATTGTCATTGTTCGCAAAATCGCGTCGAGGGCCGTTCCACCAGGGGCCTTAGTTCGACCTACTTCCCCTCCTTCGTTTCCCGAGAATGTCGAGCAGAAAAGCTCGAATGACAGAAACTTACCAGCCCTATTTCTTACAGTGGAAGATAACACAGAGAGGGTACGCAGCGTGATTCAGAAAAAGTAAGCGGACACTTTTAAGAGAGGCCAGAAAACGTCGAATGCAAAACCGCAAAACATAGGTAGAGAATCGCGCTGAGCGGGTTTTTACAGTTCAAGAGAGTGGCAGAAAATGTCTAGCTGATAGCGGGCGCGAGTGTCGCACCAGCCGCATTAGCATCAGCAACATAGCGGCGGCCAAAGAGCGTTTTTTGGAAAGGTGTAGAGGAAAAAGAAAAAGTAAAATAAAAGGAAAAGCGTTCTTGTGTATTGTGGACACAAGAAATATGCCTGGTGCGAAAAAGTAATTAGGTAATTTAATTACAATTACCGTCGCTGGAGTAATTCATTACATTACTAAATTACCTGCTACAAAAAGTAATGAATTACATTACTAATTACTGGAACAAGTAATTAAATTACTGTAATTTCATTACAGTAATTACATTACTGCCAGCTCTGCGAGAGGGACACTAAACCGCTACAAAACACTTTTTTTTTTTTTTAAGTGTCTAGATGGGACGTGCGTATACCGAAGAAAAAGCACTTTTCCTGAAAATTAAAAATTAGCGCAATATTTGCGTCACGAGACTCACTGTAACGATTTCGAGAGATATGCTCCTCTTTCGGTGTCGACTTCTGAAAGTAAAAGTGTGTTTTGGAATTGCATGCTTTGGAATTGAAGATTTAGTTTTTTTTTTTTTTTAACTAGATTTGTGTTGTAGCTTATGTAGTGAGGAAACTGTGCAGCCGATGCCGCTGCAATGTGTACAAATGAGTTCGGGGTGTATTTATGAAAAGAGGCCTCAGGAAACGGCGACAGTGCAGTATCCTTTATTTTACACTATGATACACATTTGATAGTCACCTTCGACAGAAACACCCGGACTTCGTTTTCTACGCTGGGCCATATATTTGACGGTGCATATCGAAAGACTTTCGGCATTGATAAAGAACCCACCAAAGCCTTGCCGAGCCGAACGAGGATACTTCATTTGGGGATGTAACATCTCTAAACACTATAATAGAAGTCGCTCAACACGTAATAATCTTTGAAGCAATAAATAACGGCGTACAACATAACGGCTACGTTGCGCTTCCGTTTGGAATCCCCAGCAAGGTACCACTACGGACTACAAGTCAGTGGTGGCAGTGAGTGTCAACAGGACAGTCTAGAGATCGTTGTAAAACAAGAGCTGCAGAATACCCATAGAAGAATAGCGCTCCGCTGAGTGTCCAATGAGTCGGCATTTTCCTTTCCTTGACACGCAGAAAAGTAGTGAGTTCATACTGAGCCACTTCTTGCAGTTTTTTGCTGTATCACACTATCGCGTGGTGGTACACGGAGTGCCATCTTAAAATATATAGAGTTGTCTACCGTATTCTGCTGTCTGTCGTGCCGCACGTTAGTATTTTTTTAAAACTTAACCATGCGTCTATATCTGAATTAAATACGGAAGGGACACTGCTTTACTGCAGTTCGAACGATACTTCGTTCTTAGTTGTTTTATTATTTTTTTCCGCTGCGCACCAGAAAGTTGGGATTCTCGACAGTGCAGACAGCTAAACTTTTTTGTGAATTTTATTTTAGAACGTGGCTTTAACAAAAGTAAGGGACTGATATGTTGGAACGCACGTCAATGTAACGTGAAACTAGGACTTAACCTTAAGCTTAAGAAAGAGCATCCTAAAGATACATACATTTAAACCTATAATTTGTTCTTTTTAATACGAAGATCATAATCCCATCTTGTATTAAGTAAATGTTATAGGTGTTTCAATTCGCCAATACTTGGTTCAGTCCTACGTTGTATGTTGAAGCCATAATAAGCCTTGCAGCATTTTGTGCGTGGCCGCTTGCTGGGGATATGTCGGTACGAAACACTTTACAATTCGGCAGTTTCGTTCGAGCGTAATACACACAACTTGTAGAGATTCAACAGCTTAAACGTATACTATAAAGGGACAGGTTGGTCGTTATACCTTATGTACATTGGCTGGCAAAGATAGCACTACACTTGGGCGTCCCAAGGTGCTCTAACGGTGACGATACCAAGCTATGGGCTGATAACAGGAGGGATTATAGCCCCGAAACATTGAGATTTAACTGCCCAGTCTCTATCTCTCTATATCTCTATATGCCCAGTCTCCAGTCTCTCTTTATCTCTATTTCTGACTGCTGCAAGCACAGCAGTCGGGTAGAGAAATGAGTTGTATTTGTTGCTTGCGTGTCTGTTTGAGACGAGTCTTTACATGGTTTATGAGTGTGGGCATGGTTTGATGGCGGAATGGGACTTCATCAGGTGCCTGCACCTTTTACGCTTAGATGAGGACGCCATATTGAATGATGGCGGTGGAGTGGGACGCAATGGTTTTATGTGATTTCGGCGACACTCGGTAACTCAATCCTTTAAGATTTCGTACTATACTACCACAGGAAGCTTGTATGAGGCAGTGAATGTCTTGCGTAGCACATGAATAGCTTGTAATGTGGTGGGAAAAGACTACTGTAGCATATTGTGGAGTTCAACTGGTACCTTTTAATAACGGTCTCAATTACTACAATACAGTGACAGGCGAATGCAGAGCTAAAATGGTGAAATCCTTCCAAACAACAAACATGGGGCTATAAACGGACTATTTCTGATCCTTCTATTTTGCCCAGTCCTTTGTACACTTTCTTGTTTTGTTTCCTTCCAACTGACGTTCCTTATTACCCTTAGAAACTGCAGCATGATTATTGGCGAGTTTTCTGGAAACTTCATACTTCTACTGTCACTCATGCGTTTTTTTTTTCGCGTGACGTGCTTAATTAAATTGCGCTATCAAAACAGCTTAGTTTCAACTTCAGCGACAGTTCTTCAAAATTATCTTTCGAATAGAGATATAAGTAAGCTTTTTGTGTCAAAGAAGGGTGATGTAAAAAGTATAACATGTATGGCAGTGCTCGGAGAGTCTATCCGATACAAAATGAGCTCTAAATTTACTGTAAAGCAAGAGATCCGCCAAAGCGTTTCTGCAGTTGATGCAAAAAAGGTAATGCCAATTTCAAACATTAAAACCCCATTTTATTTGTGAGCGCGTGCATGCGTGTGTGCGTGTTTTTGTTTGTTTGTTTAAGAACTGTAGCACTTTATCATATTTGTGCAGGTTCGTTGAAAGCCAACAGGTGGATTTACTATACCTGCCGAAATAACACTTTTACGCAAGGAATGTCTACCTAAAATTTTGATATTTCAAACGTATTTAGTTTGGTAACGTTATTTATTATGACTATTTCAAATGTGCTTGGATTTCAGTTTGCAGCTTAGCTTTGACCGAAAATGAATCGAAATGAAATGAACTGATAGTGTCAAATAGAAACGATAACAATGTGTGTGTGAGTGTGAGTATGTATCACCTGTCGTTTCTGAGCTTAGTTGTAGATGGAGTATAATTAATACCTGCCCACGTGCTGCTATCATCTGTCTCGCTGCAAAGTCAAAGCCATTGTTGAATTGTGCGAACTTGGAATCATATTTAACCAAATCATTAAGTTGATCTGCTGGCAAAGAGAGAATGCTATTTGTTAATTGTGTATCATTTGTATCCGGCTGCTAAAGAGTAACCTGTAATATTTACCAGACAAAACCTGTCACTGGAGGCAGTCGAACCTCTCGTAAACGGACACTAAAAAGCACCCCCTTCATCGTTTATGTTGACGCATGCCACAATATATTTCTATTAAGAATCTTTATCAGAGCTTGACTTCCTTTTGTTGTTGACTGGCTACTCTTGATCATCATCGCGAACAGATGGTTGCTGGCATATAGATATATCATGTTATAACAATGTAGGAATCCTGACATCACAAAGCACACGTGACACTGAAAACAACACTACTAGGCACACGAACGCACACGAGTGCATTCGATTGTTCGTTCTACGCAGTAGCACTGAGAGAGTGGTTCTCGCGAAAAAGTATATTACACTGAGTCATTCACGTTTTGAAAAGGTGGCGCCTTTGATGACCCCCGTTGCATTGTACCTTTCTTTCTGCCCACTGTAGACGCATTTCGCGCTTCGGTTACCCGAGCCGCCAGCAGTCGGCGGGCCCTCCGAACCGCCATTGCTGACCTCCAAATTCAATCGCGCTTGCTCTTGCAGCCTCCGGGTCTAGGAGTCATCGATTGCGACCGCAATGGGACGCGTAAACCGCGTCGATCGGGCAAAACCTGCTCGGTGGAAGCTTTCAGAGAAAGCTGACAGCAGGAACCACGCTGTGTGCACTAAACATGACTTAGTAGCGCGAAGCGCCCACGCACTGTCCACGTTTAGGGCCAGCTTCAATGCACCGATTCCCCTATTAAAGAAGGTCGAAGAACGGTGTTGACAATGGTTGCTTCGGCACTTCAGTGACCATCGAAGTACCGCTACGTCTATGGTACAACGCCGTCAGTTAATCGTCGGATAGTACGTTAAATTTACGCACTTTACGCTGGGTGTCTCTTTACAAACGCAATAAGTCTTCGACGCAGGAAAATGTAACGCAAGGTTTTAGGGTTACATGCGATTCATTTAATGACCTCTAGTCCCCGGCAGGGTGAGAAGGACAGGCTGCGCCTGCACGCTCGAATCTCAGGAGACAGCCAAGTGAAGGTAGGGAACTGGAGGCGGAACCCAGAAAATATCTCCCCGCCGTTCCAATCCTGTCAGTCACTCGAATAGTTTTCACGTATATAAGGTTAGGCTGTGCGAGCAATGGCGACAAACCGAAGATTTTGCAGGTTTGTAAACACTGTCGCAGCGCATAACAGACTGCTTGTCTGCCTTATAGCAAGAACGCTCGAGGACCGCTCGCTTTCATGTATGATTTGCAAAGATTACAGTGACGTGATCGTTGCGGAATTCGCGCAAACTTTCTTAATTCTGATTCATCCTACTGAATTTCAAGAAAATGTGAAGAATTTGCGGCATCGTTAAGCTCATTTAGTTCCACTTTACCAATATAGAAATGAATAGCGTCTCAGGCATTGTTACACGGCCGGATCGTAATGGTAAGCTGATGGAAACTTTAACAAGCTTCGATTATTGCTTAGAATGACGTAATATTCGGGCCATAATTTTGTGTAGTCTGCGCACTCGCGGTCTCATGCTATTCGATAAATAAGGAAAACAAAAACAAACAAACACTAGAATGGTTTAAAGTTGAATTAAAATAATTATTTGGTGGCACAAAATATAGCAACCATGGGTAATTTCAACGCAGACAGGGAAAAAAAAAACACGAAAATAAGGCTTTGGTTGTTGCTGGCACAGCAGAAAACGCACTCCACTGACGATAAACTGGATGCCAGCTATGGCGGCTGGGTCACCTGACACGAAGATGGTGGCGCGCATGCAAAGCTGCTGTAAAACTTTTATATTATATAGGCAACAAACCATGGTCAGCACTTCAAAGCGCTGGTGGATTGTTTTTGTGCAGCATTTAAAACAAGTAATTCCTTTCCTCCTATAGATACTTTACATGAAAAAGGCTACAATGACGGTAGGAATGCTCAGGATCCCGTAGTGAGTGAGTTCGTCTCCCTTCAGCATTCGCGATCAGTAGGTCCCACTTATGCCTTCTGGCAGCTACACCCCAGCACCGCGTCTTCTTTTTTTCTACTGTGTGAATCCCAATAAATTGTGCAATGCACCAGGTAAGAAATGTAACAAAACATGATGCGGCATAGAGGTCATGAAATCCCCAATCACTTTCAGTTATAATAAGCCACGCAAGTCTCCGTTGACGCGAAGGCTTCGGCTGTGCCTTGCATTGACGTCATGTCAGCGGCCATTGCGGAGGCCTTGCTGCTGAGCGAGTAACTTCCCCAGCATACATTTTGCACCACCGAATTCGGAAGGTGGGAATGAGTACCAGCATGATACGATGGCGCCACATGCAGGCCATGCACAGTCGAACCCGGTTATGTTCGTTATATACGGAATTCGTTATATCTAAATTTTACGGGAAATCTTTATGATTTTGATGCTTATGGCCCGGCAAAGTCACTTAACGTATAGCATATGCTGGTTAAAATAGCTACAATAACGCCGTATTCGCCTTTACACAGTACCCGACGTGCGCGCGCAAGTTTTAGGAAGCATGAAACGATACGCTATATCCAATATTTCGCTATTCTCTAGTTCGTTATGAGCGGACTTGACTGTATTGGTCACGATCGGTGCGGTCGCACTGGCTGCTCAGAAACACTTCACCAAGTGCCCAAACTCAAACTAGCGCCACACTTTCATCTTCTCTCAATCGAACGCATTCAGTGTGCGGGGCTCGGATGCCTCACGAAGATTCTTTCATTCCAGGGGTTTCGACTAGCACGACCGCAGCTACGACGAAGACGACGTCGTTCTTGGATCTTTCGTGTCACGTGGCTCTCCTGATGACGTCGGGCGCGAGGCTTGTGGAAAGTTTGGGGGCAAGAGACGCGGAAGCTGGCCAGCAGCGGCGGTCAACGCTGGGCCCTCGCCAGCATGGCGTCCACGATGGCGGGAGGGAACGGTGGGGAAGGCCTCCTGGACTTTAGACCTCCTTGCAGAGGCAGATGGAGAAGATCATACCGATGATCTGGAACAAAACGTACCAGACAGAATGATGTTATAACTATTGTTCCGTGTTTTCGGTATGTACCGATAATCACCGAAAAATAACTCCCAAAGGTTTTTTCCCAAAATCGCTGAAACCGAAAAAACCGAATTGAAGCTTGCTTTGAAGAAGAAAAACCGCAGTTTCACGGCAGGAAACTTTTATAAATAACTTTCTTTGTGTTCAACCCAAGCACCGACCGCACTGAACTGTCCGCGACGCTGCTTGTTTCTTCAGAAATTGTTTGTATGTGCTTTATTTAGTAATAGATAACGGTTATAACGTCGTGTTTTCCAGAACGCGCAAGATATACCTTTGCTTTTATTATGCGAGCCCCGATAAACCCCGATTTATGGGTTTATCGGGCCTCATATGATCAAAACCCCCGATTTGTGGTGTATATTTGTGATATCACAAATAGACACCAAAAAACACCGAATTCGGGCAAAAAATTAACATCGAAAAATAACCCTCGAATGTAAAGAAAAATAAGTACCGAAAACACGAAACCCTATCATAACTAAGGTTCCGTGTTTTCGGTAAATACCGATAAACCCCGAAGAGTAACCTCCGAGCCCGTTTAATCAAAATCGAGGAAAACTGAAAACCCCCGAATAGACATTTTCTGAGTAACGAGCGCCATCTGGGAGTTTTCTGCAAACTACAAGCGAAGGGCAATCCAACATATTTCCGCCTGTTTCGGTGGAACACACTGAAATCTTGGACGAGAACATTTTCGGCAGAAATGTGTCTGGTTGAGGGAAAGTTAAATTAAAAAAAAAGAAGTACTCTTGGATCGTTCCGTTTTATCGGTTTCATTGCTTTTTATGCCCCATACTATCGATTAAAAAAAAAGGATTGTGAAAAAAGACGAAAGACGCCAAAACGATAGGTGCTGACAATGTTGGTGCCGGCTGACAATGGCGAGAGCGGAAAGAAAGGCCAGGGGGAGGGTGACCGCATGCAGAAATGTTCACTGGGAAAATTTCCATTGGAGCTGTCCTTGAATAAAAATAAACCCAAGCTTCATGGAAGGAATTCATTATCTGTACCTTTATTGTGCGTTGGTCCGCACCCCGGTGTGGCTGCTTTTTTCTTCGGGTACCACGCCCACCGTCCCGATTCTTTATTTTTTCGGCACCGGAACGTTTGTCGAGTATATTCGGGTCGTACACATATTCCCTGGAGGCTGTGTAATTCCATTTTCGGGTCTCGTTTTCTTCAACGCGTGCCACAATGAACGCAGACCTTTTCGACTGGCACCGAAAATTTACGCCGAAAAACACCGAATCTATGTGCAAAAAAATAGACCCCGAGAAAGCACCCCGAATTCTAAGAAAAATGAACCCCAAAACCCGGCACCTTAGTTACAACGTAGCTGTAGTCTGTTGCACCATAATATCTGCAGTATAGAAGCTTTGCCTCCAGTGCGAGCTTTCTACCTCCGACAACATTTCGGCGAAGCTAAACGATGACAGAAGACAACGAGCATGTTCTGGAGGCAGAGCTTCGTTCGCTGATCTTGCGTAACAAGTTACATCCAGCTGTTACTTTCATTTCAGCCAATCATCGCAGCTCGGCTAAGTCATCTGACATATATTCAGTATTGGAAACCAGCGTCTTTCATACGTTACGAAGTAGATTGCTTCGGGGTATTTGCAACTTAATTATTGTCATCTAGTTTGGGGATAAACAACAAAAACAAATACGAGCAAACTACGTATTATACAAAAGCTGTGCGCGTTATTGCCAATGTTTCATGCCATTACCATACTGAACACTTATTCTCATTGTTTAATATAAAACCAATTTTAAAAAAAAGTTAGAAGTCCCCACTTCCTGTGGCGTACAAATATATTGTTTTAAAAATAAAGTTTTTGAAGAATTATGTAACCTTGTCCTTTTCACTTCCTGGTATCAATTTCGCCGTAAAGAAAAGTGGCTTGTTTCACAATCACATACATCATATTATAACCACACGCTAAATTACCAATTAACTACTTTATTAGATGATTTATTTTTAAACGGTGTGGTTGATATTCGTGCAATGACGCTGGCAGAGGTACGAGCATTGTTTTAGGGTTGTTCTCTTACGTACGACGGCTAAGGCATACGGATCACCGTAACATTGTATATTACAATGAATTGATTAATTTTTCTTTTTCTTTCACATTTAAAATAGTGTCCTTTCTGTCAATGTACGTATTTTGCTCGTTTTCTGAAATTGTTTGGGAATCGCCTGATGTAAAGAGGGCCAGGACCTCCGTTAAGATGTGCAGCATCTTTGTGTATTGGTCCCCCGTTTCAGTGATGAAAGAAAATAAATATTTATTATTATTATTAAATTGAGAGATATAGGAGAAAAAAACCCAGTGTCGCCACCTATCGCATTACATGCGCGCGTCTTCTGACCCTCAATTCCAGAGCCGACCAAAATTCATTCCGCTACCATTGATAGGGACGAAAAGAAACTTGCCTCAAGCCCGGCAACTCCGCAGCCAACGGCAATTAACAAAGTGCTCTCCTGCCTGATGAAATCCTCCAAGGCATCCAGACATCCCTGGAGAGACACAGACACACCAAGAGACGGACAATGGTAAGCCTAAACGTAGCCACTGCCCTGCGACACTTCAAAATATTACGTCAGCACCACCTGATACATATAGCGAATACGGTCTCAAAGGCCGCGCTTTTGGACAGCGACCGACGCAATAAAAGCGGAAGAGGAGGAGTTAGCATATAAACTATTGTTCAAGGGGGAAAAAAAAAAAAAAAAGGCCGGCTTGGTATTTCCACAACACCACCTAGAATCATCGAAGCCCGTGCACCAGCGTTTCGACGTTATCACAGTAAAATCCAGCGCAGGCACAGATTGGGCAAGATTGGACAATAGAGAGTTTTCGTAGACCGCGTTGCCCCCTCCGCTAAGCGTTCCGCAACGAAGAAGTTGCTACTGCGCCTGCGCGCCGATAGCCTTGACTGTGGAGTTCTTGCTATCGTAGCGGGTTGCGGAGGGCCTTGCGGGACGGCGAAAACGATCTACGAAAACTCCCTAATGCTCCTGGGACGCTGGGTGTTGGGATCAGTCGCAATTGCTGGGTTGGCGTCATATTAGCGTGGTGCCGTATACGTGGAGGTATAAGAAAGCTGTTCACAGACGGCATTACGTTTCTGCCACGTTCAACAATCTACCCGAAAACCTTCTTAACCTGTCGTCTAAAATATAAATCACGAAAAATATGAAACAGTTTCCCTTTCCCTCGTGTCGAACGAGACAAAAAGAAATCTAATTGTCTGTTTGTTAGGTTGAACGCACCAATTATATTTTGGGGTGTTCTCGCTCGTGAATGCATGTCTGCGGTTTTATATTTTTAATACTTAATTGCGTTTCATTTTTAAAACTTTTTATGTGTTGTCGAGTGGCCGAGGTTTTGCGTAGTGTATATTATCGCATTTTCTTCTGGCTTACACATACTTGTATTGATGTTGTCAGTTGTCTATTATATCGATTGTTACACTTTATGTATGTTAAAATCCTGAGACTACTGTCAGGTCCCGCATGCAGGCGTCCTACGGTTAATCGGGCTAGCGAGTTTGTTTGTATTTCTATTGTGAAATAAACCTTATCCTATTCCATCAATCCCGTGTAGATGGCACATTCCGGGTTGTTATGGCACATTCCGGGCGTTGCTATGGTCCCTTGTCACAAAGAAGTGCCGCAAGGAGACACTTGCAGTTCGCGTCCCCGCGGACCTTCGGCCAAATGAGGGGACAAACAACTCCCACCAGAGTCCCGCTCCACGAAATCTACATAAAATAATTAATCATCAGCTGTGCTTAGCTAAAAAATCGGTTAGCGAGATATTTGCTGGAAAACTTTGAATACTAATTGGATGGCCGGACCCATTTTATATGTTAAATAGCGCAGCATAAGGACCTTCAAAAATTTCCAACTGGTTCGTGTATCTAGCGCTTGAGCATTCTATAGCAATAGACCGATCTCACCAGGAGTTCCGCGACGCCATCGCTGCCGCGGCACGTTCGGCTGCATGCATACGTTCTCCCCAGTTTTCCGGCCGCGCAACTGCGCGTTGTATGCCCGTCCTTCGGAAATTTTCGGTTTAGCACGAGGCTTCTAATTGGGTGCTTTCCTCACGGTCTTCAATGGGTGGCTTCACCCGTCCTGTGCCAGGGTGCTACGATACCAGCACCAGGCATAAAGGCATCGAATTGAATGTCTTTCCGAGGGAGAAAGCAGCCTCCGACAGAAAGGCGAAGGAAGGTAAACAGAGCCGGACAGAGCGCCAACCAGAATATATTAGATTTGCTTCGCGATTTGCTTTATAACGCCTGTACAGGTGAGCTAAAGAGTGCAAGCTTACAGGGCACGAAATATTCGGGCGTGCCGAAGTGTTCCGTACGTTGGAATCTCCCTGAGTACTCGCTCCGTAGCGGCCTATCTCATTCGGGACCTCCGCGCTGCTTTGCGGCGGTCGTTTTAATAACACTTTCTGCTCGATGTATTTTGGTGGTTATAACTTATAACTGTCATCGCGACGACATGTTACAATCGCAACTGTGCTTCAAGAGATCATGGCAATCACTAAATATGCAGTGATTCTCGGTAAGCATCGCTTTAAACGAAACGGCTGGAAAGTTCGTCCGCGTGTTTTATGTTCTTTTCATTATTTATATTAAACTTTTTCAAATCATTTTTTTTTTTTCAAAGACGAAACTTAAAAGCAACGCATATGGTAATTAACAAGTGCAACACTTACTTCCAGAAAGGCAGCAAAAGGCCTCACCCACCTTGTGGTGGCCTATTATTCAATAACTTGATCTTGGCTGGCGTTACTGAACCGTTTTGCACTAACAACAATCAAGACCACAGAAACAAAAATGAAGAGCTTCCACCGTCGGGCGACAGTTAGCTAGTGTTCCGAGCTTACTCAAACAAATAAAAATTGATTAAAAATTTTACGCAAAAACTCATCTCTACCCAAGGTTGTTAGGGCGCGTCAAGCATGGTCTTTCTGTGGATCGTTCCTTGATTGTATGCAGGCTTCTCCCCGTCACACAGGCTGTCAGCCAGAATGAAACGACTTTTAGAAAACTATCGCTGCCCCAGAAATTTTATTTAGCTTTTTTTACTTTATTGCCGCTTAAACGTTATGCCCACGCCTGTGCACAACCGAGCTCTGTTTCCCACCGACACACTCGATGCTGTTCCGCGGTGCTACACCGAGCCGATGGTCCCTCGAATTGTTGTGTTCTTTGCCACTGAACTAGATGTTGACTTGTTTTCAAGTTCATTGAGTCGTTCGAGCAGCCGGAGTGCTCGAGTAGTGGCGCCGTCGTTTTTCCCGCGGCCGTAATGGGACCATCGCGTGAACGACCTGAACGTGGCAGCAGACGACGAAGGAATCCTAAAGCAATAAGACAATTGAAAGCGCTTCTCTGCGCGCGCAGACAACCCAAGACAGAGCAAGCCAAGCCAAGGCATCACAAACCACATAATCTTACGAAATACACATCAGGATACTTTCCGCCGATACCGGGGCGTCCCAAACGATGATGTACGCGCAGAGCAGCCCTGTCCAACCGGCAAGCCGGAAAGCAGTGACTACAAGTGGCACGGCAGCGGCACCATCTCCGGAATGCGCGCGCGTGCGCAGTTCGCTCAGTGAGATGGGTCTATAGTAGGATAAACATGACTGGAAGATCTACCGAAATGGAGCCAGCGGAAGTCCCTCAGGAGGCAAGAGATTACATGTGTTTATACGCGCTGATGTCTACACACACGAGGTGTGCGCACTGCGTGAGATGACGCGTCTGCGACCGCGCAGTGTGTAGAGGGGGTAGACTAGGTGTATGAACACGAAAAGGCTGTATGCGTGTACCTGGCTGTGCCTGTAGATGCTCTGCTTGGAGTCCATGTTCTGGCAGAGGGTCTCGTTGACGGGCCGGGGGTTCTTGTGGGCGTCGGCTTCGGTCTCGTCCCGCAGGCGGCAGCAGGTCTTGCTTACGTTGTCGCCTCTGGCCAGGCTCTCGGCCTTCCAGGCGCTCTCCAAGTAGTCCCCCGGTCCGAACACGCCGCAGCACTGCATCTGCGCGGACGTGCGATATCGAGCCAAGTTAAAGGCAGCTCGGACACATCCATTGACGACACTTTTCATTCTCGAATTTTACGAGCCTTGGTTCTGGGGATGCCCAGACGGCGTGTTCTCATTATGGTTTTTCTTTTTAAAGGACACATGCAAAGGAAACAAACATTTTTTTTTAAACGGCTTAGATGGAAAAGGGACGCCATAAAACGATTTTACAACGAAGAAAAAAAATGTTTAGAGCTATATTTACGGCGCAAAACGAAATTGTAGTTGGCGCCCGCGGGCACCGCGGAAAAGTGGTCTGTATTTATCACGTGACTGGTCTTTATTTATCACGTGGTGCTTGCGCTCTTTTGGAAGCTTCCTATGGCCTCTAAAAGTAACTTATTCATCTTTGTTTGAAGTATAACAGAAAAACAAGACGAATAAGTAACTTTTAGAGCCCAAAGGAAACTCCTGAAAAAGCGCAAGCAGACGTGATAGACCTGTGCGCCGGTCAGACGACGGCGGCGGCGCCCCGAAGCAGACGAACTTGTGCGGCGGCGGCGACGGCGGCGTGGAGAAACGCGTTGAAGCGGCGTTCGCACAACGCTCAGCGTGCGGCGGCGACGCAGCGCGGCGGCACGCGGGCCTACCACGTGACCAGCGGCGGCTCCCGCGAGCGCCAACTACAAATTCGTATAGCGCCGTAAATATAGCTCTAAAAATTTTGTTTCTTCGTTGTAAAATTGTTTTATGACATCCTTTTTCCATCTAAGCTGTCTAAAAAAATTCCTTTGCATGTGTTTTTTAAGGGAAAAGCCTTACTCGTGCCATTACGTGAAAAAGCGGTTGAATTGTGCCTGAAGGATGGTCAGATTAATACGTCATAAAGCACGCGCCTCATAAATAAAACGCAAAGAAAAGCGCAGCAACGCGGGTGCTTCGTCACGGAAGCCTGCGTATTGGGGGCTGAGGGTCAAAGCGGACGCGCCTATCAAATAAAACGCAAAAATGAAAAGCGCAGGAAGATGGATGCTTCGTCACGGAAGCGGTAGTGAGGCCGACGGGGTTTGCAGCGTCTGCCCATTGAGGGAGCGCCTGCGCATTAAACGCGCGGAAAAGAAATGCACTGGGTGTAGGAATGCTTTTGTATTCCTATATATTAGCAGTATTAAGTGTCTCTGGTGAATTTTTTTTATGCGATACGATTAATTTCGTTTTATACACTGCAAAAGGCTTATTCAAATGAGTTTCCATACTGTTTCACAAAAAAAGGGACTGATGTGGACGTAATATATTCTACAGGAAAAGCTATTTACAATGCCCCACAGAGTCACTGATGGGTATAGTGTCTTGTACACGGTACTCGGAAAAAAGTGAACGTTTACAATTACTCTTAACCGAATCTTATTTAATTCTATTACTCGATAACTCGAGAAGAAAAATAAGTGGCCGTTATTAGAAGAAAGTAACCTTTACTTTTCCAATTACTTCAAATTTTCAAAACAACAGATTCCCTCGCCGGTTTGAAAACGGCCGGCCTTTCGTACCGTCTATTATTGGATTAGAATCACCGAATCATGAGCCACTTATCTTTTTAGTCCACCAATTTTGGTAAATGCCCCTCCGGTCGGAGACTTATTGATTCAAAAATTCTTTAATAATAATAATAAAAAAAAAAACTCGTAGAAACAAAGGGTGCCATTAAAAAAGGGGGGAGGGCAAGTAGCAACTGTTGAAGTCATTCTAGTCCTGCCAAAAGTAACCATATTGCTCTTGTGATTACTTCCTAATAAATGTGTTCAAATGATTACAAAATTACTCTAAAAAGTAACCGATTACATGTAATTGCATTACTTGTAGCAAGTACCGTACCGTATACAAGTCTAGTATAGTAAGGAGTTTTAGAGAACCGTTTTTGCACACCCGATACGACACGATGGGTCCTCCGGTACGCACTGCGCATGCGCTTCCACAGAAGACTCGCACATGCGCAGTTCGTACCGGAAGAACCATTGTACCGTATCGGATCTGCAAAAACGGTTCTCTAAAACTCCCTAGTGCCGCCATTTCAAAGACGGTACAACGTACAATGTTTCATACGTCTTCCATTGTTTAAATATAGTTTTATATAAGGAACTGGAGAGAAGACTATGTAGAATACGTGCTACGTTTTAATTCTTTTCTTAAGGTTGGTGCGCGCGGCTTTTGGATGACCTTTTAGTCCCATGAGTGAATGCTTCACCGTAGGATACATTTACTGACTTATCTAGTTAGGCTTTAGCGACAGCCGCCTCGATGGCTCCGGCCATTACACTTCCGGCTGCCGAGCGCGACGGACGTGTTATCATGTGCTCCGTAGGAGCGGTGAAAACGGCCGCGTCAGGCCGCGGTATTTCTGTTTCTGGATCCCCCGACGATTACCAGGTTATCTTGCCTCCGCTGCCAAACGGATACGTTGTGACCAACGCAGTCTTCCTGCACTGTGATGTGAAAGGACGTCCGTACAAGATACAAGATTTCCGTCAAGAGTTGCAACGGCTGGATGTGATGAAAGACCTGGCGGCTGCCGGGCCCCATCAAATGAACCACGTGTGGTTGCTGAGGCTGCACTCGCTGGCAGCAAAGCAAAGGCTGGTTGATGCGAAAGAACTGACTGTGAAGGGGGGCCGCTGCCTCGTCATTGACCCAGCGAGCTTGGCGGTGACACTTAAGCTGCACTGGGTCCCATACGACGTTCCCAACGTCCTTGTGAAGAAAGAGCTGGAGCGCTACGGCAAAGTCGCCGACGTCGCCAGAGAGCGATTCCGGGAGAAGGGGTTTGAGGCGGTCGTGTCGAACACCCGGATCGTGCGCCTGACCCTCCAGGAAGGCAACACTGTCGACAGCCTCCCCCATGAGCTCCGTCTGGAAGGATGTAAGGTGTTGGTCGTGGTGCCAGGACGAGCTCCGCTCTGTCTCCGCTGCCGGCGTAAGGGTCATATTCGCCGAGATTGCCGCATCCCTCGCTGCTCCGACTGCCACCGCTACGGCCACGACGCAGAGGACTGCGTCAAGACGTACGCAACCATGGCGCGTGACCGAAGCGAGGACGACTACTCCGACTTCCTCATGGACGTCGCGGAGGCAGAGGAAGCGGTAGGAGGCTCTTCGCCGCACTTGCCTTCACCTCCTGACAACTGTGGGTCCCCTGCCCCTGCGAGCACCAGCCCTCCTGCTACCGCGGATCCACGATACGCGACGGAAGGTACGCCAAGTGAACCAGGAGCGATGGCCGCGGACAGCATGAACCCAACTACCCCAAAAACAGATGTCACCCACCCCGCAGCACGCGAACCGAAAGGCGCAGGTGACAGCGGTTCTGACGGCACGGCGACCAAAGACTTGGATGAAGACACGACCGATGGACAGCCCCCCAAGCGACTCCGAGACTCACTGTCACCTCGCAAGAAGTTGTCACAGAGCAAGACACCAGTACAAGGTCTTGGAACACCCCTGACAGCAAAAAGAGTCGTGTAGCGAAATCACTAGTTCTTTCCGACGACCAAAGACGGAGGGAATCGAAGTCAGGACGACGAAGGATGGGGGGCAGGATCAAATGGCTTGGTGGACGGGGACTGCGGGCGCGGCTGCTCGTGGGAGGGATGGAACGGTGTCGGAGAAGATAGACATTACCACAAGTGCTCCGGGTATGTGTCGTCACTACGCAGTTAAATTACAATCGAACGCTGTCTCGTCGAGGCAACACATGCCGGTTCTTGTAAGCACCGTGTTTTCCGTCTTGCCTCCTCTCGCCCTCTAATGCAACTCGCAAGGTCCCTGCGTGTGGGCACGTTAAACGTGCGGGGCTTATGTGCCCGACGCCGCCAATATCAAGTAAACCGCTTGCTTATCGAGAAAGATATGGATATTGTTGCGGTGCAAGAGACGAAGATGGAAAGTGAGGCCCAGACGGAAAGCATGGTGCGAATTTTTGAGGCGCGATACAACGTTTGCGTAAGCTACGCCGTTGGGAATTCGGGCGGGTGTCTTTTGTTATTAAGGAAGTCTTTAGGGACCGTTGAACAAGTAGTTAAATGTGAGTCTGGCCGATTTGTAATGTGTGATTTTCTTAGTTCTAGCTATAAGTTTCGAGTCCTGTGCGTTTATGCACCCACCAGAATGAATGAGCGCTTAATATTTTTTGAGCATCTGGAACAGTATGTACAAACCGACAGACTAGTTATTTTTCTCGGCGACTTTAACTGCGTGTGTGCACCGCAGGACCGTTCTAACAATATCCGGTATAGAGACGCGAGCACAATGTTTTTAAGCGACATGATCGAGCAGTACGGGATGGAAGACGTTGGTCACTCCGTGTCAGGAGCGTCAGGTGTGCGTTTTACCCACTTCCAAGGGGCCAGTCATGCCCGCTTGGATAGGGCCTACGTTTCACTTGATCTCGTCAGGGCGTGTAAGAAGTACACAGTAGAGCCCGTGTCGTTTAGCGACCACTGCCTCGTTTCGTTTATGTTGTGTGCCGCTAAGGAAGCTCCCAATAAGTTTACATGGCACCTTTGGAAACTAAATTCGCAGCTGTTAGGGGACGATTTTTTCGTAAAGGGAGTTCGAAAAAAGCTCAGTGAACTGGGCGGCCTCGACGAAGGTTTCGGCACACGATGGGAATTGTTCAAACAAGAGATTAAGATGAGTGCAATCGAGCGTTCTAGTTTGATAAAGCACGTCGAAAGGAAAGAAATAAAAGAGTTAAAAGGCCTGTTAGACCAGCTAGTCCGCGAAGAGTGCTTATCGCCGGGTATTTTTTCGGATGACATCAGCAATCTTAAAAAGCGGCTGGAAGCTCTCGATACCGAACGGTTTCTGGGAGCCATGGTGCGGGCGCGTTTAAAGCGGTTATCGCTTGGAGAGTTGCCAACAAAAAAGGCCTTGGCCATAGAAAAGAAATATGCAAGCAAAATGAAATAAGTGAAATCTTTTATCAAGGAAGAGTGTCTGGTGATAGAGACGTAATAGAAAGC